ACCAAGGTACAGGAGAAGTCAGCTATGGTCTTGAGAGGATCTTGATTGGATTTAGGACTTAAGCAAGTTTACACTCTTGGACATGACAGCATGGAAGGTCTCTGCATCCAGTTGGCGACTGGTCACTAGTGGTGTCCCCCAGGGATCAGTGTTGGGCCCAGTTCTGTTTAATATCTTTACTGATGATTTAGATGAGGGGATTGAGTCCACTATCAGCAAATTTGCAGATGACACTAAGCTGGGGGGGAGCGTCAATCAGCTGGAAGTCAGGAGGGCTCTGCAGAGGGACCTGGACAGACTGGAGAGTTGGGCTGATTCCAACGGGATGAGGTTCCACAAGGCCGAATGCCGGGTCCTGCACTTTGGCCACAACAACCCCATGCGGCGCTACAGGCTGGGGACAGGGTGGTTGGAGAGCAGCCAGACAGAGAGGGACCTGGGAGTTTGGACTGACAAGAAGCTGAACATGAGCCAGCAGTGTGCCCAGGTGGCCAAGAAGGCCAATGGCATCCTGGCCTGGATCAGGAACAGTGTGGCCAACAGGTCCAGGGAAGTGATTCTTCCCCTGTACTCAGTGCTGGTGAGGCCACACCTGGAGTGCTGTGTCCAGTTCTGGGCCCCTCAGTTCAGGAAGGATATTGAGGTGCTGGAGCAGGTCCAGAGGAGAGCAACAAGGCTGGTGAAGGGACTCAAACACAAATCCTATGAGGAGAGGCTGAGGGAGCTGGGGCTGTTCAGCCTGGAGAAGAGGAGGCTCAGGGGAGACCTCGTCACTCTCTTCAACTCCCTTGAAAGGAGGTTGTAGCCAGGTGGGGGTTGGTCTCTTTTCCCAGGCAACTATCAGCAAGACAAGAGGGCATGGTCTCAAGTTGTGCCAGGGGAGGTTTAGGTTAGATATTAGAAAGAATTTCTTTACAGAGAGGGTGGTCAGACATTGGAATGGGCTGCCCAGGGAAGCAGTGGATTCTCCGTCCCTGGAGATTTTTAAAAAGAGACTGGATGTGGCACTTAGTGCCATGGTCTAGTAACTGCAGTGGTAGTGGATCAAGGGTTGGACTTGATGACCTCAGAGGTCCCTTCCAACCCAGCTGATTCTATGATTCTATGATCAATCACTATCCTAGTCCTGCTGGTCACATTGTTTCTGATACAAGTCAGAAAGACACTGGCTTTCTTGGCCACCTGGCCACACCGCTGGCTGCTGTTCAGCTGGCTGTCATCCAGGAAGTCAACAAAGTGCTAAGCTACAGGAAGAATGGTTTAAATTTACTATAACCTTCAGAAAGAAAGCTACTGTAAATAGAAAAATTCTAGTCCTGTCTAGATTTGCTGTGTGGTACCCCTGATGTTGGAGTAACCCTCAGCCATAGCAAGAGGGAGAGCACTGGAACTGGTTAGAGAAAGAAGAGACATGACCACAACTATTGTTCACACACTATGGAGTCAGGGAGCAGCTGGGATCTGCTGCCTAGATCCAGATCCTGAGAAAGGATTTTTTGTCTCACAACTTAGACAAATCTTTAGAATCTGTAAATAAATTAAATACAAGTTGAATGTGGTTTGGAAATCCAGATAAAGTCCAAAAATGAGAAAGAAATTCATGTAGGCATTTCAGAGCCTTATAGAAGCTAAGCAAAACCATCCCCCAGAAATAAGACACCAGCTGAAAGAACTGGCTCACTGAATGATCACTTTGCTCTTGTTGTTCTAGTCAAAAGGCAGGTAAGACAAGGTTTCTAGACAGAGGTAGCATCTTTTATTAGGCCTGATAGTATACTTGAAAAATTAGATAAGCCTTATGCACACAACTTCTAGCCTCTAATACAGATAATGTCTTTTTTTAGACCACATTTTGGAGATCCACACTCCTCTGGTTTAGCAGGAAAGGGTTGGATGGGATTTTCAAGGATGTCTCAAAACACATTAGATACCTCTGTGTGGGTAACTGAACCTAAAGATTGTTTTTAGGTAAAGCTAATTAGCGTTGACTCACAAATGCTCTCAGTTTGCATGAAATTATCTTTCTCCACACTGTTCTGAAGGCTTTTCAAAATCTTTTGACAGTGGTTTTATTATGATGTAACATGCTCTTATCTTTTAATTCCAAAACAGAAATTACTATATTTTTGTATAAACCCCTAAATTTTAGTAGCTGCTTTCAGTCTTGTATTCATATGCTTTGTGCAGAATAAGGAGATTATCCACAATTTCAGTCTTGGACTCCAATCAACTGTTCTCTCTCCAGATTCACAAACTGTGGAATCTGTGCCATCCAAAACATCTCAACATGAAATCCAGGCCAATGCACTTGATATCTCCTGCCATTCTTTGTAAGCAATCAAAGAGCTCAATTTCAAGGTGTAGGCTATAAGATACTGTGAAAAATCTGAGAATATTTTGGGTTTGCTTCCAATATTCATTGCTAAATGTCACTGCAGTAAGGATTTTAAGAATTATTAGTGTTTGCAGCTGTGGACAGGCAGAAGGGAACAGTTTCCCTCTCTTTCCCTGTAATTTCTCCTTATTTTGTTACTGTCATGCAAACCAAAATGATTCCAATGTTATTGCAGCAAATACTTGGTGAAACCACGTGATGGACCACCACTCTTTAGTATCTTGGGCTATTCACTGAGCTCAGCAACCACTCTAAAAGTAGAAAATAACCAGCATAGGGAGACAATCTCAACTTCCTACATGAATCCTCATCCCTTATCTGTCCACCTGGTTTACATGTTAGTGTACACACATTGATTCTCCTTGCTATACATCTCCAGTTGCGGCAGCCAAGGAACTGGGTACTTCTGTGAAGAACTGTAGAGATGCAGCTATTGATTTCTGCACTGGGGGAGCACAACAGCAGGTGTTCCCAGTATTACTCCCATTTGATTAATTTCCTGTCCCTTCTTCTGTATGATACTCAAGACTTTACTAAAAGTCACAACATTTTTTGGAAGCAAGAAGAAAGCAGCAAATGCATGGGAAATACTGGAATTCTCTATAAACTTCTATTGTTTTATTTTAAAAAACAAGGAACTCAAACCAAATGGCCCAGCCTAATTTCTGAAGCACCACCAGGACTTTAGAATTACAATCCTAAAGCAACACCATCCAGAGCATGGCAGCCTGCCTGTTCTTCACTGACACACCCTGGCAATTATTAATGCTGCCAAACTGCTCTGAATTGTAACCTGTGAAACAGGAGATTCAATGAATCAGGTGTGTAAATAGCCTGATGATTTGATTGTGTTGACAAGGGGTTTTTTTGCTGGTACAACCCACTTTTTCAATTCTTCCAAGTTCATAAGAGGTAAGTGAATTTCAAATAACTTTTTAACCCAGCTATTTTTAGTAAGTGGTTTCATCTGACTTTGTACAGGTAATGAAGTTGAATTTAACACTTACAGAAGCACATTTTCATGCTGTTGAAAAATTATCATAAGTATGAGCATCTGGTAACTGTGGTTGTTTTTTTAATTGGATGCCACACTGGAGAATTTCAGAGGTACACATTATACAAATAAAATTGGAAAAATGAACCTTTTCATTTTCATTTTTAGTTAGGCATCTTTAAAGGAGGTACACTCCTGCTGTCCCTCTGAATATGACATTAACACATTATTTTGGAGTTTGTTTTTGTGCTCTGGGAGAAACAAGTTCTTAGTCTAATCAGCAAAATTGTGATATAGTGTTTTTTCTGAACATGATGGTATTAGATATAGTCCTGATTTATTTCCTCAGAAAATTCTTGTTTAATGAAATAGTTAAGTTGAATTTTGGAACAAAATCTTTTTATGAATTTAACAAGTAATACCTGTGAGGTCTGCTTTAGCTTCCACTGGCAAAAGATTTTATGAAGAGACTCCACTTTCATTTTGCTGGGTTGATTTTCTATAACAATAAGTGCACTGGTTTGTCTGTCTCTATGCCTGAGAAGGTGGAAAACTTGCAACTGTGATCAGATAACAGGTTAAATCTAGCTTAGATGGAATAACATGACCATGATGATCACTTTACAGGCTTTTAACTGTGATCTACAAATTTTAAAAACTCATTAGAAATTCATCAAGAATCAGAGATGAGAGATTTTCAACAGAGCAAGGTATGCTCTGGCATACTTTTTCTCTAGTGTTTTTATCCAGAAATTCATTCTCCATGGGCTTTTTTTTCTCCTGTAGAAAGATCAGAGCAGTATAAGTCTAAAAGAGTAGTAGTAGGGAGTAGTAGAAAGACACAGTACTACATTGTTTTTCAAGCCATATGCTATTTCTGCGATGCATACATATTTCTGAAAGCACTAATTTCAGCACACAGCAACCATAGTGCTTGTTCAGTCTGTAAATGCTTAAAGTGTAAAGAGAAGTGGAAAATATAGACAAAGCTGATGACCAATAAATTACGCATGGGTATGGGTATGGTTTGGCAAGTCAGAATCCCCTCATTTTGAGAAGTGTTTAAACCTCAGCTGAATAGCTGAACAGCTATTTATTTACACCCACTTCCTTACAAAACCCCAAAATGTCTTTCACAGTAATATGCGTGTGAAGAGACTACAGCGCAACCTCGCCGTGCAGACATGCACCAGCAGCAGGGATGCCCTGGCGGGAGGACCCCCACAGCAGGGAGGGAGCAGCCCGACGGGCTCCCAAAACGCGGGGCGCTGGATGCGGGGTGCGAGTCCCGGTGCGGGGCGGCGCAGGCTGTGGCAGTGCCCCGGCGCGGGCGGAGCTGCGGGGGGAGCGGGGCGAGCCGTGCCTGGGCGCTCCTGTTTCTTCATTTAGTAAAAAAAGCTGTTTGCTCCCCCGAAGTTGGATGTCTGCTCAGCCCACCAGGGAGGGGAGAAGGAGGTGGGCTGGCAGGGCGAGCCCGGCGCATCCATCCCGCGGAGGGTGAGCGCCCTGCCGGCTCCGCGGGGGATCCGCGGGCGGGGGCAGGCGCCGGGCTGTTCCCGGCTGCCGAGACCATCGCCCAGGAGAGCAGCCTGGGGGGTACTGGTGCAGGGAGTCCTGCGCTGCCGCTCAGGACGCGTTTGCCGGAGATTTGAGTGGCTGTTTTCCCTTGGGCTGCTGCGGATGAGAGATACAGGTGGGTTTTTCTTCCAGTGTTCTGTGCCACCCCCCTCCCAAACAAGTGTAAAAAAGTTTGTGAAGGACGATTCATAAGGTGAGGTTGGTTGAAGAGGCTTTTGCTTGGTGCAGTGTAGAAGCCTGGGGAGAGTCGGTGTGTTGGGGTGTGCTCTCAGTGCCCGCTGCTGCAGCCGTCCGAGAGGCGCTTCTTATGGCTTCAGCCCAGCTCAGGACAGGGTCTGTCTCATTTACTCTTAGCACAGACATTTCTGTGCAAAAACTTCCTCTTTGCATGGAAGAGGGGTTGCCTTAACTTTTAATATACTAGATAAAAGTAGCTTTTGTTTCAAAAGCAGTGGGTTTACCACACTAGATTTTCCCCTCGAGTAAATAGCATGGCATTCAAACGTGGGTTTCATGACCTGTCCTGCACTTACGTTGTTCTCGTTTTGATATCTGTCTTTCTCATGATCGTGAACTCCTAAAAGTAAGTCTGTTGATCTGCATACAAGAGGCTCTCCTATGGAAGAGGCTCGGAGATACCTAAACATGTGAACCACAGAACCTCCTCTCAGACTTCTAGCTTAGTTGTAAAGACCTATATCTGGTCTCTTGAAACCTTGAAGTGTGGCTTAGGGAATGGAAAAATAGTTCAGAACAGATGGAAATTTTGATTTCAGTGTTGTGGAGTCCCATGCAGTCTCCCAACTTTCAGCTGTGTTTGAAAAATTATTTCAGATTATACTTTTGTTTTTGGATGCTTTCTGTTAAAAAATAATTCAGTTTCTCATCTGGAAGATAAGGTTAAGTGTATGTCAACTTAAAAATTTACTATTTCTGTCATAATTCTGTCATAAGGTCAAAAAATTGATGCTTCCTTCGTGAAATTTCATCTGGGATTGTTTTTGAAATGTTATGTGGGTTTTTTTGTTAGGTGGTGATGTTTGGTTTTTTTTTAATTTAACTTTTCAGTAGAAAGCTAAGTTCTTAAATGAAGGAAAAAATCACTGTTTCAAAATTGATTTTTATATGAACTGAACAACAGGTTGATTTAGGCTGTGTGGATATGTAAATATAAGGGGTTTTTTATAGCTCCTTTATATTAGAAGTGAATAATGTAGATATAATGGAAGAGGGTAATGTAAGTTTTTTAGTAATATGACTTTGAAGTTTGATTTTATTTATTTATATATTTTCCTCAGCTTTTAAACGTTGAAAGTGAGTTAAGCATCATCTTTGGTATGTTGCACAACTTTGCAGGGGAAGATGGTAAACAATCTGTCATTTAGGAATAGTGAATGAGTTCAAGAAAAAAACGCAAAACAGTTCTAAACACTTAAAGCTAATATGTTCGGTAAGGTACTGGGGGGCAAAGTGAGAAAGAAAAAACAGCCTCACTGTTGTAGGATACTGCTCAAACTAATGTGTGGGGGTCAAGTGCAAAAAGAAGCCTTACACTCTCAGTATTAAAGCCTGTGCTCCCAGAAGCTGATTTAACATCTTCTGAAACCCTATTTTTTTCCAACAGACTGCTTCAGAGGAAATACAAGCAGTGATGGGTGTGTGTTTTGCTGTATCTTTAGACTTCTCCTGTCAGAACCAGTTAACAGATGCAGCATTTAATAACTGGTGATGTTAAATGAACTTTTGGCCCATTTCACCTGACCATGTATTTTGTATCACCTTGGGTATGTTTCCCATTCCATATCAGCTCAAACAAATCCAGGGGGACAAACTGGATGCTCATTTGTTTGTCTTGGATACAATCGCAGGTTTTATTGTTTTGGGTTTTTTTTAACATTTTCTGAGAAGCAGAATTGGCAGAATTAGATACAGTTCAGTCCTGCAAGCTCCTGAGTTTGCTAGGATTTAGGAGGGTTCAGGCTGTCCTACTAGATCATGGAGACTTGGGGAATGCAGTGTCACCTGTAAGACAGGGCTATCAGAGTTACAAAGTAATTCCTATTAAAGCAAGCTATCTGTCTAAAGAAAAAAAAATCAAGTAAACTTATCAGCACAAAAGCTCATCTGCAGGTGTTTTTCAGCAATAATGTGTATTTTTCAGTTAAGTGCTAACTAGGTAAAAATTGGACCCATTCTTCAAGGGATTATTATGGAAGTTTAGAAGCTTTTTTTAAATCTGAATTTGGCTTGTACTGCATCTGAAGGTGTAAGAAACTTAGCACTTTATGCATCAACTACTGAAAAGAGACTTACTCCCCAGATAGCCCACATCTTGAGATGTCTTCCTCTGAAGGCCTCTGTCTCTTGCATTCACCCAAAACTTTTTGAAGTACATCTTTTTGTGTCCTACTTGTCATCTTTTGATATCAAGTGGCCACATGGCTTGACCTTCACAGTGTCCGTAATACCATTTTAAAATATATCTTACACTGATTTTTCAGGACCCGCTCCTCTTGCATGGGCATTAAGGTATCTTTCCCCAACACACCAGGGCAGAACTCATCATGCTAAAGCTGGGTGACTTGTGGTCAGTAGAGAAATTACCTGAGCACTGGTCTGTGCCTTCACACCTAGTGTCAGACTGCTAAATTTTAGTCAGCTGAATCCCATCCAGGGAGTAAATGTCCTTTTATAAGCACTGTAAATATAAAATCTTGATATATCTTTAGGAATGCAGGATGTATGTGACTGTGTATAATAGAGCTACATTTTATTATTTATATTTTGAGCTTAATAGAATCATAAGAGTTTGTGTTGGAACAGACATGTAAAGGTCATCTAGTCTAAGCCCCCTGCAATGAGCAGGGCCATCTTCAACTCACTCAAGTTGTTCAGAGCCTTGTCCAACCTTACCTTGAACATTTTCAGGGATAGGGCATCTATCACGTCTGTGGGCAACCTGTTCCAGCATTTCACCACCCTTGTTGTAAAAAACTTCATTATATCTAAACTGACCCTCCTTTAGTTTAAAACTGTAACCCCCTGTCCTATTGCTACAGGCCCTGCTTAGAAGTTTCTCCCCATCTTTCTTAAAATCTCCATTAAGTACTGAAAGGCTGCAACAAGGTCTCTCTGGAGCCTTCTGTTCTCCAGGCTGAACAAGCCCAACCCTCTCAGCCTGTCTTCGTAGGAGAGGTGCTCCAGGCCAGTGGCCATTTTGTGGCCCTCCTCTGGACTTGTTTTAAGAGGTCCATGTCTTTTTTGTAAGATAGAGATACGTACAGAGAGTGCGTCACATTTCCTAGAGGGATTATAAATTTTGGCTTTGTCTAACACAAAAGCTGTGATGTTTTAACAATACTGATGATATTTAGAAGCTTTGCCTGTAGTTATTCTTGTAAAGTAAATTTCCACATAGAAATATTTATGATGGCATTCTAAAATTTTTGCTACAGATTATCTAAGAGTAACAGTTCATCTTGGGGGGGTGGGAGAGGCATCAGTAACTGAAATAGTCTGCATGTAAATAATTTTCAGTGTATTCAGATTTTGAAGCCAAATTCTGCAATATGCTTTGCAGAATGGAGGAGCAGGCAGGAATGACCTTAACTGTAGTCTGCAATAAACAGTCATGTGCAAACAGATGAGATAAACCTGTCTTTGAACCAATGGCAAAAGAATAGATTAGTTTATAAAAGCTGAACTGTAATCAGAATTATTAAAAAAATATTATTCTATGAATGAGTTTATTTCACTGTACATCTTGCGTCCCTGTGAATTCTTTCTGAAGCTCTCCTTTGGCACAGCACCACCATGCTTTTTTTGCTACCAGAAAAAAAAGTTCACTAATTACAGTTAGTGACTGAGAAATGCTCGGTATTGTATTTTTTAGTCAGTTGCTATTGCATTTGGGTTTTCTTCCACTACATTTTAACTCTGTTCATTTTAACACAATTATGAGTAAATTTTAAGTATATTGATAGTTAGACCCAATTAGTTTCCTTCTATAACCTTCAACCAGAATTGGACAAGCGATAATTTTTTGTCAAGTTGGTAGAAAGAGGATTTCAAAAGTTGTTTCTCTTAGATATGCTACCTGAGGTCCTTACCAACCTAAATTACCGTGTACCTCCTGAAGGGGGAGAAAAAAGCAGAAAGCATCAGTGTTTCAGATTCTCAATGACCTAACAGTAGAAGGGCTGTGAAGTGTACATGATTTACTCACCAGAAAAGAATGTAAAGACAGACTGTATATGTTAGAGTTCAAAATCACTGCAATAATGAGATATATTTAGCACAGTGAGTTTGTGAAGGTAGGGAAATAGATGAAATACTTGTTCTAAAAGTTCACCATGACAGAGATATGATAAAAGAAAAAAGCAAACAACCTCTACATCTTCAGTAAACTCTGAACTATCATTTTTCCAGGTGTTAAACATATATTTTTCTACAAGACAATTTCCAGAAAGCAATGGTTAGGAGTAATATAGAAGATGCCCCATTTAAAAATGCATGTAATCATTCTAGGAGTACATGACACCTGAAAGAGAAGCTTTAATATTTTTTAGTTCAGCAATTTATGGCTATTGTGCGTTTTGCGCTGAGGAGTGTGAAATTCCTACATAAATGTATATATGCATATATATGCATCCATTTCCATGTTTATGGAAAATTCTGTGCCGAATTTGTCTGGAACCACATAGAGGACTGACAAAGCAGTTGTGTCTCCACATTAAACACTATTGCTTCACAAAATACACATACAGTGTGTACAGGTAAACAAATTCATGTCTGTGGTGGGAGAAGCATCTGAGACTTGGGGTGTCTGGCTGCTTTATAAATAATTAAGGAAGACATCTGTCCACTAGTAAATATGGCAAGAGAGAAATTGATATCACATATCTACCACCCTTTGTAAGCATACAAATCACAGAATCACAGGATATGTCAAGTTGGAAGAGATCCACAATGATCATTAAGTCCAGTTCCTGACCCTGCACAGGACCATTCCCAAGAGTAACACCATGTGCCTGTGAGTATCATCCAAACACTTCTTGAACTCTGTCAGGCTTGGTGCTGTGACCACTTCCCTGGGGAGCCTGTTCCAGTGCCCAACCACTGGGTTCTTCACCTCTGGGTGAAGAACCTTTTCCTATTATCCAACCTAAAGCTCCCCTGACACAACATCAGGCCATTCCCTCAGGTCCTGTCACTGATCACCACAGAGAAGAGATCAGTGCCTGCCCCTCCTCTTCCCCTCACAAGAAAATTGTAGACTGTGATGAGGTCTCTCCTCAGTCTCATCTTCTCCAGGCTGAACAGACCAGGTACCCTCAGCTGCTCCTCAAGGCCCTTCACCATCTTTGCTGCCCTCCTATGGACGCTCTCTAATGGCTTAATATCTTTCTTACATTGTGATGCCCAAAACTGCCGCGATATTCAAGGTGAGGCTGCACCAGTGCAGAGCAGAGCGGGACAATCCCCTCCCTCAACCGTCTGGCGATGCTTTGCCTGATGCCCCCCAGGACACAGTTGGCTCTCCTGGCTGCCAGGGCACTGCTGACTCATATTCAACTTGCCATCAACCAGAACCCCTAGGTCCCTTTCCATGCCACTGCTTTCTAGTATCTCATTCCCCAGTCTGTACATGCATCTGGGATTGCCCCATCCCAGGTGCAGAGTCTTGCACTTCCCCTTGTTGAACTTCATATGATTGGTGATTGCCCAGTCCTGTAATTTGTTGAGGTCTCTCTGCAGGGCCTCCCTGCCTTTGAGGGAGTCAACAGCTCCTCTGAGTTTTGTGTCATCTGCAGACTTGCTTAGTATCCCTTCCATTCCTGCATCCAAGTCATTTATGAAGATGATGAGACAGGAGAGCTTGAGGGACTACACTTGAAATTATTCTTTCTGTGTAAAGAAATACTTTCTCCTTCTTCTGAATTTTTCATCATTTTAATTAAGGTCTAGCCAAGACTGAAGCTTCACTTGGTGTGGATTGACTTAATGTGGAGGAAGACAAAGTTCTTCCTCTGGGAAGCTGCTACAAAAGATATGTCTTACCATGTGTTTTCTCACCTGAGGAAGTTTGCTAGGAATGTGCAAATAACCACCTCCATGCTAAACTGTGAGCTAGGGAAAAACTTCTTAGAACAACCAAGGACATATTAACAAACTGTTTTTTCTGCTAAAATCAGAGTGAAAACTGAAAAGACTGAGCGATATTTGTTACAGTTCAAAAAGGGAGGAACTGTTAGTAAATTATGTACCTATGTTTTGGTCTTCGTATGGACTTGTTTTGTTTTTACTATTTCTTTTTTTCTGTATTTTCAGAAAGACACCCATTGTCAGAGGAAGCAAGTGCAGCTGCCATCAATAGGGCTGTCGGTTTACTCTGAAAGAGGAGACCATGCTGAAGCATCTTTTTAATATACCTTCCATTCTGAGCATCAGAAAAGATCATCTAACATGATCCTAGGTTTAAATAACAAAGATGAATTTGACGTGACTTTTTGCTTGATTTTGCTGCCCTGGAATTACTGCAGAGCAGACCACTGGAAAGACACAGTGCAGGAATGTACTCTTGTGCTGAAATACAGTATTTCACGCCTGCATAACCATGTAAAAGGTATCTTATCTGAGCAAAGGTCAGAAGACTTTCTGAGATGGCTTGGCCTGTGATGGAACAACTCTTCTAGGAAACTGCTGGAGTACTTCAGCAACGGGCACCCAGCATCTCTGCCCCAACTGATCTGTGTCAAAGTCCAAAATGAACCACACTTGGACATACAACTTGAGCTTTGGTGCACCTGCAGATCCTGTTGAGCCAAGGGCTGGACTCACAAGAAGTGGGCACACAGTAGTGGCTGTTTTTCTTGGATTCATCTTTTTTTTTGGTTTCTTGAATAACTTAATTGTCCTCATCCTCTTCTGCAAATTTAAAACCCTTCGTAACCCAGTCAACATGCTCCTCCTGAACATCAGTATCAGCGACATGTTAGTGTGCATCTCAGGCACTACCCTCAGTTTTGCATCTAACATTCGTGGCAAGTGGATTGGAGGGGAGCATGCTTGTAGGTGGTATGGCTTTGTCAATTCCTGCTTTGGTAAGAGTTCAATGATAATTCTTTACTCTCTTTTCCTTAATACTGGTGCATGAAGCAACTTGATCAGTGAGCTCAATGCTGGTCTGTGCTGAACAGAAGGTTACTTTGATTGCCATGTTATGGTCAAACACAACTGAAATCCATCTTTTAAAACATTTTAAAAGACTTTAGGAGAGAGTAGCAGAGATCTAATAAATATTTCCTAATATATCCCATTCTTTGAAATTACTTACGTTTTAAGGGTTAAAAATGTAATAAAGAAAGAGGCAAGCCACTGGAAAGAGTTTAACTGTATGAATGCATATAATACTTCTCTCTTTTTCAGGAATATCTCTGCCATTGCAGAACTACAGGTCTCTCAGTGTGTTTCTGCCATAAACAAAGCCACCTGAAAGTACTCTATTTACCATTTGTAATTATCTATCAATCTATATCTATCTATAATATGAATTTCTCGTGTCCTGGATAATGAGTTTTCATTATTAGATGCTTTCCGTTCTCCTGCAAAGCAAAATTTTTATTTTAAAATACATCCTTGCAGATTCAATAGCAAACTAAGTCTTAGGAATAGATTTGTCAGAAGTGACAGTAAAAGTATTCAGTATTCTTATCTTGATCAGACAAAACATTTTTGCAGCCAGCTTTTTTACTGCTGGATATAAATGTTTTAACTGGAAATTATTTTAATTATTGAAAAAGATAAAGGACAAAGTACAGACAGAGGGAAGCCTTCGTCCTCCAAGGTGGCCTGTCTGTTTAGGATATGTGTCACCAAGCAGTCGTCCGTTCTTCGTTTATTCCTACATTCAAAAAATGTAGGAAAAAATGTATTAAAGCATAAACTGGCCTGTTGGTGCATGTCTAGATGTGATCCTTATCTCACCCAGACTGGGTGACTCAGTACAGGTCCCTCTTACTGTACATCCTTGTTTTGGTGCCACCAGGACAGGATGAGCGCAAGCCTGGCTCTTCTCCCATCCTGGATTGCAGTGCATCTCCTGCAGGCATTTGGCCCACAGCTCTTGATGTAGAAGCAGGTGGTGGATCCAAATGCATGTTTTCTACCTGAATTATAAGCTCTTACTGTTTCCAGTGTGTGGTCTCTGGTATGTTTTGATCAACATAACTGGTCTACTCTGGCCTCCAATCAGGAGGTCTGGAGACACACTATCTATACCGCTGCTGATGCTTTTGAGAAAGCAGGATCACTCTCGAGGAGAAAAGACAAAGCAGAAAGAATCATGCTTTGCAGAATATACCACCTAAGGAGTCTTTCTGCTGTGCCTTTTGCAACCGGGCATGCCTATCTCGAGTTGGCCTTTTTAGCCACCCCTTTAGCACGCTTGTAACAAACGTGGGTAGAGCCCTCCCCAAATCTTCATTCGTGAAGCCCAGCCATGCAGTCTCTGGTACCTGTCGCTTCCTCAAACGTGTGCTGCACTGATGACCATTAACTCAGCCTGGCAACTTCCCCTGGGAAACTGCTGCTTTGCCCAAAGTGAAGTCTTGGGAGTTAGCAATGTTGTGTAACATAAGAGCACTTACTTTGGGCATCCAAAAGTAGACCCCATCAACAATACCTTGGCTTGTTTTGATGAGTTATTTTTGGTTTGGTCTGTGCAAAGCAGAATGACAGGTCTTCTTCCAGGTTTCATTTCCATTTTTGTGAGTTTTATGAGTTCGAGTATTTCTGTACTTGGTCTTCTCAGGAAGAAAGAAGTTAAGACTGCTTTTTCTCCCTTGCTTGATTTACCTTATTTTTTATTATTTAACAGTGGGATGGGTGAATAACATTTGAAGGGAGGGGTGGAAAAGGTGTTTTTTAAGGGATTAGGAAAAAGGTATGTTAATGGTGCCCTTTGAGCCTGTTGGCTGCTGTCAGGATACATGTGAGTTACCACTTGTCGTGGGTTGAGGTGGCTGGGTTTTTTGGTAGTGGGGGAGGGCTGTTGCCCGAGGGGTGGACTTGTCTCTCTGCACTGCTGTGGTGGGAGGAGGGAGAACATGGAAGGAAGGAGGGGTGGGTGGAAAGTGTGTTTAAGACTGTTTTATTTCTCACTCTTTAGATCTTATCCTGTTAGTAATAAATTTTAATATTAACCCCACATTGAGTCTGTTTTGCCTGTGTGACCCCTCCCAGCTCAGAGCAACTTTAGTGGGTGCCTAGACTCTGGCCAAGGTCAACCCACGACACCACCCCAGTGACTGTGGAATTAAACCTTCAAATGGGGAAGTTTCTTCTAGGGTGACCTGCTTGTAGAATAATTCTTGAAAGTCAGATCTGTATAAATTGGATGGATGGCCAGAGTGCAGATTTCTGTGCTAACCTGTTTTCACGTGAGTTTCTGCTATAACTGTTAAAATGGATTAGATCATCAAGGAACACACAAGCAAACAGAACAACAAAACCCAGAATGTCAAAGGTGACCTCAGCTCCTCTGAGTGATGTTGGCCCCGTCAGCAGGGTGCCCTGGGCAGCTGAGGCAGCCTAAGTGCAGGTAGCGCACAGTTCTCGTGGCAGTCTTGCAGTGCTCACACTTTCTTTCATTAGTGGGTATAAAGGGCATGCATACTGAAGAAGTTTGTTTGCAGAGTTACAATTAAAAGATGTTCACTTACATCTTTACATACAGAAAAACATGCATAAAGGAACTAGTAGTAGCAGGCTGCCTAACATTTATGTGTCTATAAACAGATTATATCTGTTGATAAATACCATTATTCATCAGGTTTTATGACTTTTTGTACTCCAGAATGTGCTAAAAAAGAGCTACTGTAGGTGTGCAGCGCATTGATGGCTTTTTCATGTCTTCATAGCACTTGAAAACAAAATGCCTTTTTTTTTTCCAATTTTTAACATTCAGTGTGTGCTGTAAACATTATAGACTGAGCAAGGATCCACTGAGTGGAATGGTTAAATTGTTTTGTGGTTACTGGAAAGTAACATGAGAGAGGGTCTTATTGAGACTTGCAGGTATTATTGCTAAAACAAAATACAAATACCATCTCAGTAATTGTAGGATTATTTTCCTTGTCTTCTGTGGACTTTGGAAAATTTGTAAAAAACTTACTGAAGTGATTCAAAAACTGAAGAGGTGGAAAATCAAGTATATTCTGTGTCATAAACATGGTTTAAGACTCACTGATTGGTTCATTGTAGTTACTGAGGATAATCACAGAGTCATAGAATGGTTAGGTTGGAAGGGACTTAAAAAACCATCTAGTTGAACTCAAATTCTAACTGTTAAAATATTTTTAAATACAGTTCATTATTAAGAGGCTTCTGAAAGGACTGTATTTTAATACGGGGGTTTTTTTTCCCTCTCAGTTTGTTTTGTGATACTGTGAAAGCCTCCTTTTTGTTCTGTACCGAATGGAGAGTGAAGGTGTTATCCTCCAGGTTTGTGGCTTGGATGAAACCTGAGACAATGAAAGCAAGAAGCTGAGATTTGTTTAAAACATAAATGCACAGTAGATTAACTTTTTTTTTTTTTATCTCCAAAGTGTCTTACCTTTTTTAAAATCACATGACTGTTGCCCTGGAAGGTGATCTTGAAAACAGAGCTGATTCTTCTCCCAACACTATTGACAGTGCAAGGTACATTGTTGTCACTTAGTGTGAAATCCAGTAAGTTATTTACTGAGCAATCCATTGCCTACCCCAGGCACTTAAAAATCATGACTCAAGAACCGGCACCAGGGGATTGCCGTGGGCACAAGGGAAAAAAATTATGGACAAAGTGAAGGTTCTTTGGTTAAATTACTTGTTGCTTTCCCCATGTCTGCTTTGCAATTTCAAATGATTCACAAAAAGCAGAACGTTTTAAAGCTATGAGGAAGTGCAGATGCTGATCAATAAACATGTAGTCAGGATTTTATGGAGAAATTTAAATATCATAAGAGCTGCTATGGAAGTAAGAGTTGTTGGGTCTTGATCTGGGGGAGCATTAGGAATGGAGCTAGAGGAGAAACAGCATGGTCTGTTTGCAGCATAAATGATTTTATTCTGGTGCTTGTGCATGTTTGCAGCTCAGTAGGTCACTGCAGTGGAAACTGCACGTGTCACTGAGTTGGGGAAATGAATGGATTTTTTAAATTTGCTCCCATTACCCACCTGTTAGTCATGGTTTGACAAGCTCATGGTTATACATTTAAACAAACATGAAAAGGGACACAGGGACAGGATCCATTTTCCCAGCTGAACTCAGAGTAAACTTTGCAAGCAAGGTGAAAGAAGGACAGTTAAATATATTTATCATGAAATTATTAAACATCAGATGTTAATTTAGGAAAAATATATTATTTAGTAAAGTAATCCTATAGAGACCATATATACATGAAGTGATATGCTATCCTAAGATTAAGTTTGTCTTGCGGTTCTGTCCATCTCAGCATAGTCTCTCCAGTGCCTTTTTAAACACTACAAATCTCTGGACAGATGAAAATTTTCAGAAACTTTCCCTTAATGTAGACTTCCCAAATATGTAGGATAAGCAGAATTTGGGCCCAGATGAATTCTGGAGTTCATTTTCAGAATCACTACTATACGTCATATCATGATTAACTGTTAAGTAGATTAATACATGTGGGAAAGACAAAGAGCTTGCTCTGGCTCCAGAAATCCAACACTAGATTCTAATGCTGGAAAAGTTTCAAGGCACATTACTAGCAGGGATATTTCTGTGACTGTTGACCTCTTAGCTCTTGTTTTCAGGTGTCTGCTGGTTGTTTTCTCTTTCTTAACCTTCATGGTTGTTAAAGTACCTGGAAGTTTGACTCAGAAGTTGATTCCCAAATTTCATTGTTAAAAATGAATTGAGATTACAGGACCCAGAGATGCCTATGCCATGTGAAAGCTGTGTGACTCGAGGCTGTGTCTTCCTGCACAACATCCCGTCTGTCCTGGATGCTGGGGAGGGCTACTTTCCTAAACCTGTTTGTACTGAAGTAGGGCATGTAGACATGTCTTTATGTCCATTGATAAACCAAGGTCATATCTA